TGCGGGCCGGAGGTTGCCGTGTCCGGCCGGGCGGGAGCGGGGTGGGCAGGGAGCCCCAACGGGCGGCTCCGTGGCGGGACCCCCGTCTGTCAGCGGTGCCTTGGTCCCCATTAACGTGCTAGCGTTGCTCAGGGCTGAGCAACTGGGAACGGCGTGTAACTAAGCCCAGGGCGAGCCGGGCTTCCTCAGCCGAGGCCACGCACGGACTGTCCTCGCGCCGGTGCGTTCGTTTTGACTTTATCCGATATCGCCCAGTTCACAGGCTCTGCCTTCGGATCCGCCGCCATCTGGCAGTATGAGTCGCTCAAGTCGCGGGTCCAGACCTATTTTGAAGAAGCTCGAGCAGACTGGTTGGATAAAATACGGCCACAGAAGAGAGGGGACTTCAGAAAGCAGGTACACGGAGCCAGGCCCAGCCTGTTCGCACACGGGTGGGTCCCTGCGGAAGCGTAAAACATGACCGCGTCTTTGCTCTGGTGTAGGCACATCTGCGAGCACCGTTTAGTACAACAGATACTTGTCCAGTTTATCCTGATTTTTAATTTGGAGAAATAATAGGTTCTCAGCAAATTACAGTAGATACATTTCCTTACAAGAAAAACTGATCAAATTAGTTCTAGAAAACTGTAACTCACAGTATCACTACAAAGGCTATACTGGAGAAAAACACCATCTTCACTCTGAAATGCAGGGAAGAGAGGTCAGTAGTAGTAGTTTGTATATCTAAATTAGGTACCTTTTTCACTATAAAAAAATTCTATTCTTGCTATGTCTAAGTGTTCTCAAAAGTGAACATGAACTCTGAAAGAGGACAGAGCTAGCTTAAATTCTGAACCTTAAGCATGAAATTTTTTACTGCTCTGGCTTCTGAAATGCATTCATATTTTCAATCTGTACTTCACAAATATGAGGGTTTAGAAGGCTTTTTTCTCTCTGAGAGCTGACATTTCCATGCAAATACTTTGGAGTTTGGGCAGTAAGAACAATGTAAGTACTGCAAGACTTGTTATAAATTTAGTTGACATCCCGAAAGTGTTAGTCATTTGGTTTTCAATTAAGTGTATTTAAAACTAAACTAAACATGCATGTATGTTTTACATTTGTCTCAAGGTTACTACTGTGGCTTGTGATAGACCAGGCTTGATTACTCTTTCGGGTCTGCTTGTCCAAAGGAAGTAGGGCTGAGTGTGGAGCTGGAGAAGCACGGGGCCCTTGGTAGGACACAGAGGAGCTGTTTTTGTAATGTGTATTGTGTGCTCTGTGGTACTTCTTCCAAAATGGGCATGTGTTGGGGGTTAGCCCTGGTGGGCAGCTAAGCACCACATGCTGCTCGCTCACTTCCCCCTCAAATCCCCAGTGGGATGGGGAAGAGGAAAGGAAGAATAAAGGCAAGAAAACTTGAGGGTAAAGATAAAACAACAACCAAAAATTGTTTAATAAGTGAAGGATAAGTGGGAAAAGAGAAAAAAACAAAACAAAACAAGTGATGCAAAGGCAGTCACTCACCATCTCCTGTGGGTAGACCAATGCCCAGCCAGTTTATGAGCAAAAGATGGCTAAACCTCCTAAAATCCCTCTTTTCCCTTTTATTGCTGAGCATGATATTCTATGGTAAGGAATATCTCTTTGGTTAGCTCTGGTCATCTGCCCAGTTGTGTCCCCTCCCAGCCTATTGCGCATCCCCAGTCTATTCACTGCAGGGGCAAAGTGAGAAACGGAAAAGGTCTTCATGCTGTGCAAACACTGTTCAGCAAAAGCTAGAACATTAGTGTGTTATCAGTACTGTTTTGGTCAAAAAATCTAAAACACAGCACCATGTATGAGCTGCTATAAAGAAAATTAACTCTATCCTAGCCAGGCCCAGTTCTTGCTTGGTGTATATGAACTGCAGATGAGATTATGATTGCCACTTAATAATTTAAATAATTTTGCTTTTCTTCAAAACATGAAGGGGAAGATCTGGTGATTAGCTATTCAAAAAATAAACCAAAACTGCCCTATTGTTACTAGGCTTAAACTCCCAATCCCCATCTTCAACTGCTAAGTTCTATTTTTAACGTTCAGGATCCCCCAATAGCTTCTGAGGGCATCTACTTCTTGTATTTTACAAAAATCATGTTTGTTTAGTGTTCTTATACTGGAGAACTTTGTAGGAAATACCGGTATCTGTATCCTGTGCCAGAGAATTAAACAGAAAAATGCAATGAAGTTGTTACTTTGATACCAAATAGTGAATGATTTGTTTCATACAGCATAATTTCCCCCTGCTCCAACCTACAGATAATTTTTATTACATTGTCCCCATCAATATGGTTGGAAGGTCATTGAGTTATCAATAAATACTTGTCCAAAATTATTCTGAAAGCTGAGGAAGGGAAAGGGGGGTGGAATTTGTCTGTGGGCTGACTGCGCTCAAAATAAACTTTTTCAGGGGTTTTAAACTTGGAGGAGGGCTGGGTGAGCTGGACGCAAAGGGGAATGGATTCCACATCTTGTGAGCCACCTCTGCAAAAGTGACCCTGGCACAAAAGTGGAATCTCTCAAAGGTGGGTGGTGTGATGTTAGACAGCATTAGGGTGAGGCTTAGTCAAGGCAGGGTTTATGCTAACTTTGGCCAATCTGCTAAAGTAGGCATTATGGGCTAGATCCTTGTTTAGTACAAGCAGAGGTAAACCCACGGAGTTGTGTAAAAGGATATAACCCCATTCTTTTTGAAGAAACTCTTCATCTGTGTTGGGATATTTTATGACAAGGAGGGTAGATGACTATTCTTGAGTAAGGAAATGCCAACTTAAAAAGCTAAACCGATCAGAAATAAAAAACTGTGAAACTGATTTACTTAACAGATTTCAAACAAATGCTTTCATTCTTAAAAAGGTAGAACCTTGTGTGACTGTTTTTGAAATTGCAAATACTCTACAGTGACGCTGATGTACAACAATTCCGTTTCAGGTTAACAGCTGGTGGAATAACCTGACTGAGGGTCAGCGGACTGTGACAGGTTTGTGTTAGCTTACAAGTATTAGACATTCACAGGAAGAGAAATATGGCAAACAGGTACAGTATGTTAAAACAAATGGCTTTCATACCACATTTAGGTTGTTAGGCATAAAGCATGTGTAAACTTACACCTGCACATACACTATTTCTGCTACACTTCCTTCTCACAAACTATTTTTTGTACGCATTAAAAAAATTCCTAAGCATCTGTGCGAAAGTGTGTGGAGGATTAGCTAGAATCTTTCCCCGGCAACATTTTTCTCAGGAACTGTGAAAAACAGTAAATGCTTTTAGAAGGAATATGAGTATATATTCCACTGATACGTGGAAATAAAACTCTCTGATAATTTTTTGCTATTTTAAATACATAGTGTTGCAAACAATCAGCAACTATCTTGTAGGCTTTCCTTTGGTTATGATGTAGTTTTGATTGGTTAGCCTAACATCACTTGAAACCCCCAAGATAAAGGTAATGTGTGGAGAGAAATTGATGAGAACTCGATTAATACCTAAATAAAGTAGCTAAGCCATATTTGCTCTTATGTATTCTACATGCTAACAAGACCTGTCAAGAAGTTTTGTACAATGCTTTGAGTTGCTCTTCAACATGCAAGCCAAGTCACCTTACAGATACAAATACTGTATTGAGGCGGGGGGGTGAAGATTCATATTCTGTAGTCCCTAGAGCATCCCTCAACATCGAGTTAATCTAACAAGCAATGTACATTCTAGCTGGTAGACCCTGAGCCATTTGGATACTTAACCCTGATTGCCATAACAAGATTGGGCTTACTGTACTGAAATTGCTGAGAGTTCTGCAACATCTTGGTGTAGCATGCAGGGAAAATATTTCCTCTAATAAAAGAGCATGGTGGAAATGGATGGAGTGCCAAAAGAAGAGATCTATTAAAATTTTGGTTCTGGGATTTATGTACCATAGTTTTTCACAGTTCTTTCATTTTGTTGCAAACTTCAAATAGAGAATAATTATGTGACATTTACCATTCTGTAAAGGAAGCACAATTATTTTCCCCTTTAATGTTTCTAGCTATTGTAAAACATTTTAAATACTGAAATGCTTGGATAGAAATAGAGAAGGCACTTTAAACAAGAAGCAGTAATTTTGCATCAAACAAGAAGCAATAACTTTGCATCATTATGTTTCTAATTATGTACATTCTTATTTAAATGAATAATAATTCATTAAACTGAAATAAGATTGCAGTAAAACTGAAATAAGATTGCAGTAAACATCTGTGAAGTAAAAAGCTGGGCGTTTGCTATTTCCCAAAGGTAACTATGCCTTAGCAATGCCAACTCAACTTTTTATGCTCGATCTCTCAGTAGTAACTTTACAATTACTTCAAAACCGAACCTCCCCAGGAAGTGGAAGGGATGTATACTGCGTGTCTGTATGCTTCCCCTAGCCTCCGTGCGCAGTTAAATGCAACTGTGCAGCAGATTGGTGGCATTTGGGAATAAGCAGCTAGAGAGGCAAGAAATGAGACCTCTTAAGCTGGCTCTTGTTTCATTGGTTCTACAGTGGAATAGAAGTTTGAAACCATAGCTTGAATGTCTTAAGTACAGATTTTCTGGATTGTTGCATTCATTCATTACATCGTACGTTAAAACAGTTGCAATTAAATGTCACACATATAAATATAGCTTTCAGTATTTTTCTTTGCTTTTTCTAAACTCTATAAAGAAAGAAGTAGATACTGCTTTAAATGAAATAGTGAAGAAAAAGTATGGTTCTTTTAAGCTTACTTTTGAATGCTTGTTTACAGTAAGCATTATATATTACATTCATAATTTGCTTTTATGCTGTTTTTTCCTCTTAATAGGTATTATAGCTGCAAACGTCTTTGTATTCTGTTTATGGAGGCTGCCTGGTATGCGACGGATTATGTTTACATATTTCACCTCAGATCCATCCTCCAGTAAGTGAACAGTAATTCGGGGGACTTCTCTACATTGGGATGTAATACAAACTCTGATAATACTGCAAAAGCTTTGGATGGCACATAGCTTACTTGCAGCTCCATCACCCACAAGAAATCTCAGTCATGCCCAAATACATCATTTTGTCTAGACAGAAAACACTTCTAGGGGGGGAAAAAAGTTAGAAGTAATGGATTAAGAAAAAAAAACTCACTGGTGCTTTTCTAAATATTGTAATGTCAAAACTGTTGCCTGCTATTTGGCCTTTTACTGCATTCAGTGGAATGCAGCTCCTGCCTTTGTAAAGGTGAAGAGGCACTTCTCCAAGTGCTATCACCGCTTTCCTGCACAGAATGCTAATCATGCCAGTCTTTGGGAAGGAGGAAAATAAATCGTACTACGTAATGCCATTCAAAAACTAGTGTCAAATGTGATTTTTTTTTTTTTTCCTTTAATGTTCTGTGGGATGCAGATAGAACAGTCATCTGTCACATGCATGTGCGCTTTCATCAATAGATAAGCATTTGTATGTTATGTACGGAGTCCTTGTTTGAAAGCTGTACTTTGGGTCACGTTAAAAAAAAAAACAAACCACAAAAAAGATGGCTTTCGCTTTGCGTGAAATGTTTTGAAGAGGTAAACTTAGGAAAGCAAGTTATAGTATTTAATGGCAGAACAATTAGGTTTCATTTCTACAGTAGAGAAAAGAATTAAAAGGATGAGACAAGCATGCATTAGAGTACTTTCTGCTATCCTCTTAATTTCTGCTGAAAAAGTGGAAACTCAACCAATTCCTCACATACACTCCAAAGCTAAAGATAGCTGTTACCCAGATCTGAGCATCAGTCACCCCAGACGCTCCTGCTTTAAATAATGTTGACCTTTAAACTTGCTAATTAGCTTTTTTGCATTTTCAAGGCTGCTGTTTCAGTGAGGAGAGATAGCTTTTTGAAAGGAAAATGGCTTTTTCTTTGTGAGTCCATCTCTGTAGCAAAATAATTTTATATAGATGCTCATATAATATATTAAAAATCTTTCACCATATACATATAAAATCTCTCTTTTCCTTTCCAAAGCGTGGGAGATGTGTCGTAAGATAAATATTTTATAAGAAACATTCCCCAGTAGGTAAACAAGACTTTCTAAAGTAGCTGTTTGTACAGCTTGCATATCTCTGGGGTGTATGTTCCACCTTTCAAAAGGTATTGCATGGAATTCGAAATTTGTTACATTTCTGGTTTTATTACATAGCTTGTATTTGAGAATTCTAAGCATAATTAGCCTATAGTCTTGATAAATTTCTAGTCTGCATGACATGTAAGTTGAAGTAAATTAAAACACTGACTCTTTTTTTTTTTCCCCATTGTTTTTCTCTTTTGTAGGAGCTCTGTGTTCTCCCATGCTGCTCTCTACATTTAGCCACTTCTCTCTATTCCACATGGCAGCAAATATGTATGTTTTATGGAGTTTTTCCAGCAGCGTTGTCTCTCTTCTGGGATGTGAGCAGTTCATTGCAGTGTATCTTTCTGCTGGTAATGTTAAATACATATATATTTACAACACTTAAAAAATACAAAAATATATTCATGCAAGTAAAGTGTGTGCATGGTTAATAGATGTATGATGACAGATGGCCATCGTTCAATCCCACACATTGCTCTGTACTAACTGCAGTACTTACTTGCTGTCATGCAGAATTTTGATGGGTTTAGGATATTTGGCTTCAAAATATCAGGACAATACAAGTATCTCGTCTTAAGTCATGCTTAGCTACCAAAATAAAATAGCTCTTAATACAGCCTCATGGGAGTTTCATGAGAAAGATGAGAATTAATTCAAGTTAAAACAAATATACCGCCTCCCCTCCCCCCCCCCAAAAAAAACCCCACAACAACAACAAAAAACCAAACCACACCACCTACACTAGCTTCTTTAGGAAGATGTACAGATAACAAGTTAACATTGTTAACTTTCTGATGCTTGTCTGCATTGCTGGCATTGTTTCCAATAGTCGTTCTTCCTTTCTAGGGGTTATCTCCACTTTTGTCAGTTATGTTGCTAAAATGGCGACTGGAAGGTTTGAACCATCGCTTGGAGCTGTAAGTATCTCAGAATGTGAGGAACCTTATAATGATCTCCGAAGCCGTTTTCAAAGCCTTCTGTATTCTTTAACCTGCTTAAAAGTCAAGAATATATTTGGAATAGCAGAAACCAGGAAAGTTTACCAAAACCAAGTAACCAGGCAGTGATTCCTGTGTAAGAACTTGCCTGTTCTTCAAATATGTTAACTCTTGTAGCAGCAGCCCAGAACTAATGCCACTTAATGCTAATGTCTTGTAAATGAGTACTTAACAGCAGGACGTCTTGTCACTGAGCAGATAGTTCAGTTCTAAAACTTACTTCATAAATGTTATTGCATAATTATGTATCACAGTCACCTCTAATTGAAAATAGAATACTTTAGAAAGAGATCATGTAATCAGACAAGCAAAATCAGCATGTGATACTAGTGGAAGTTGTAGGGCATGCTGTGCAGAAAGGGCAGCACTCCTGCCAAAAGTCTCACAGTATGAAAGAGATGAGGCAGGCTGAGGAGGTGTTGTGGTTGTCTGTTCTTTACAAGTATTTTTAGTAGTAGAACGTTTTAAAACACTTGGCTCGCTATGAGTTTGAGGCTATAACTTAGCCATTTGCCAAGTTTTAAAGGATTCTTAACTTACTTTACTAAATAATTTTGGTAAAAGCCAAAAGTCAGATTCTTATTTCTCAATTGGAATGAAAAAAATCTGTCGAGCAGTCCCTAAGGTTAGAATTTTTGGTAGTGTGGTCTATGTATTCTCTCTTTGTCTTGTGAATAAACTATATCTGGAGCAAGTTACTTTCGATTAGTCTTATTGAGCTGAACTTACTGAAATTGCCACACGTTGCATTAGTTTACTGTATTCACAGCCTTTCCATTGAGATATTTCATGGATACAAAAGCCCATGGTCAATTTAGTATGGACCAGGGAGTTGCTTTTTTCTTTGACAAAAGATTTCTTGTCCCTGTCCATCTGTTATTTTCCTTGTTTTGATACAAGCTTCGGAATGATTCCCTTCATCTGAGATGTCTGTGTTTGATTAATATATGTTAGATTTTTAGGGTTTACTGGGAGAAAAAACACATTAACATAAATTGTTATCTTAAAAATCGGGTGGGGTGGGGTGGGGGAAGGGGTATTTTAATTAAATAAGATCATCTGAGGGGTATTTTTTTTCCCAGTATTTATAATTTCGGATATTGAAATTAAATAATGGTGTCTTATTTTATTTTTATTCTGAACTTTGCTGTGGTGCTTCGTACTTTGAAATTTACCACAGGGTTGCATTTGAAAATAAAAGCCAAAAGGAAAACGGGTTCACATGCAGAAAAATAAATTTTTCCTTATGTAACAACTCGGCTTACTTTCATGTATTTTAATGTATTTACAGTCGGGAGCTATAATGACTGTCCTTGCAGCCGTATGTACAAAGATGCCAGAAGCAAAACTAGCCATCATATTTCTTCCAATGTTCACATTTACAGCAGGAAACGTAAGTGCCTCTGAACTTCAAAGAAATCATACTCTTAAAACATTTTCCTCATACCTTTCCAGTATCTGAGCATGTGTCCTCTTCGTTTGTGCTTCTGAGCTGTTAAATTTATTTTGAAAGACGATACAGGTCATGGAAGTCCTGGAGACCGATTCTGAATTGTTGCAGCCTAGCACAGTCATTACATAAGTGTGTAGCGAATTTAGAATTATCTTAAATTCCATCCTCCATGGGTCTGTTTCAAATCTGATACTAAGAGGTGAAAGAAGTTGGGAGGGACTCTGGCTCACCTGTCTGAGGAAACTTGCATACACATACTGTTCTTTCTGATGGGTGATATTTTTTATAGCAGCACTTGTTACAGGCTGATCTAATACTGATAAATTTTTCTTCAAAAAGAGGGTATTGAGATGGGAAAAACAATTTCACTTCTCAAGGGGAAATAACATTCCAGCCCTGGAGGAATATCTGCCTCCTCGTTTGGATACCATCTTTTGATACTTCTAAGAACACTGTTGGGGTTAGCAATAAGTTACTGAGGCTTTTCTTCATGCGTAGTACCAGGGCTCCTTTTTTGTTTCATTAAGTTCTTTTAAGCACATCCACTACCCCATTTAAGAAAAGCTTCTCATGTATATCTTGACTTCATTTAATAAGTTAATTATCTTTGGTCCGCTACTTAAAGTTGTTTTACTTAAAGCAGTTAAGCTTTGTCCTTTCAAGATCATGGTATTTAATATTTTTTGTAAGTGAAGCTTACAGATTTGAACAAGTGTTCTTAGATGTAGCCTTCATGTTTTTCTTGTACTTAGGCTTGAGCGGACCTGTTTTTTTGCATGCTACCCTTTAACTGCATCTTTCCTAAAAAAGATGTCCAGGGTAGAAATACAGAGCCACAGAGAGCATTGCCATGAGGAAGTACTCATTGCAACAGTAAAACAAGAGCAACATTGGCTATTGCAGTATAAACGTTGGAATAATTGTAGCCCTCATATGTAATTGTATTTCTAAACTTTTATGTGCTCCTTTAGCCTACCTTACATACACTGTAATTGGCTTTTAAAATAAACAAGCCCATGTAGCAATATAGCTGCTATTCTACCACAATATGCTTAAGGAAAGAAATCCTATTTAAAGTAACACTTCATCCTAACATTAAATCTGTTGGTCTTTTTGGAATGAGGCATTTAGTAAAATTTCGCACAATTACAGTTATGGTAGTTTGTGTTTCCTGAGGATGGTGTACCGTTGCTCATGCTGTTTCTGGCTATGGGGTTGTTCACTATCATCCTGATTTTCTACCTTCCAACAGATGTGTCATTTAGGAGAGTGTGATGATCAATTTATACCAGATAAGATGACAGGGATGCTGCCCCACATGTTCCAATCACTAGAAGGTTGTGTTTGGGAGGACAGATGCACGTAATCTAAGCTATGTCAGAATTAGTGAATGAGAATGTTGCAATTATGTATTTTGTGGTTTCTTTTACAGCATGTACTCTTCCTGTTTTTTTTTTCCCCTGACCTGAGTGTGGAATGTATGTGTAGCTTTAGAAATGAAGATTGGAAGAGACTGAGTATTTAAAAAGGACACATTCCTACCGTGCAATACTCTGTAGCTGCTCATAGCTGTAGTGTGCTGTCAAAATACAGACAAGGACTGAGTCTGTTGTTTTAAAACAATTGTTGGGGGTTTTGTTTGTTTGTTTTGGGGATTTTTTGTTGGGTTTTTTTGTTTTGTTTGTTTTTTTTTTTTTACAGTGATTGCCTTGATATAAAATTTATGGGATATTTTTTGATCGCAAATTTTTGCTCTGTGCCAGAATATGAAACTTCGTTATCAGTGGTCATTATATGCTGTGACTGATCCTGTCCATTCCATGTTCTGTTCCTTTCCAGGCTTTAAAAGCCATAATTGCATTTGACACTGCAGGGCTTGCTCTAGGCTGGAGACTTTTTGACCATGCTGCACATCTTGGGGGAGCTCTCTTTGGAATGTAAGTCTGTATTTACTAACTTCTGTTTGTTTTGTATTTAAATTCATCCTATATTTTTTTCCTCTTGATTTCCTCTTATTTCTGAAGCGTGGGGGTTTTTTGGAAAGTCATCTTAAGTAGTATTGAAGATAACTCACTGTTATCCTTGTAGTGCTATAAAATTGTTTGGAAAATACTATTGACAGATGCTTAAAACTGAAAGAAATTGAGCTGAACTGCCTTGGAATGATAGATTAGGTGTCAGCTTGTCCTGTCACTGTAACCTGGGCTGGCTGTCTCTGTACTCTCCCCAGCATGTTGAAGAGAGTCACAAGGCAGAAAAGATTCTCACAAAACACAGCATGGACAAATTAAAATAACTTTAGAATTAAACAGCCAAGAAAATTTCTTTGTCTCGGTGTTTTTCCTCTAATTGCCAATTTAGAGAGAGCTACAGAGTTGGCATAAGCTGAGGCCAAGTTCCTTTGAGCAGCATCTACTGCTGTTTCTCAGTGTTGCTGCATTGTCTTTTTGTGGAGCCCTTCTGATTGGGAAGAACTACTAGAAACCAGTTTGTAGGAAACAGTTCTGCATTGTTCCATATTTGAACTACATTACCTAATGAGTTTTTCCCCTTCTACCTGATTGCAATGTTGTCTTAATTTCACACTTACTGCTAAGAGTATTTTTAAACATTTTATGTAGGCATTTTAAAAGCCTACCTGAGATTTAACTAGGCCAGACAATGAACGGGTGGAGGACACTCCTTTTGGTCTACGAACTGGTTTGCCTTTGTTTGCTATTTCTTGGCTTTGGTGTCAGTAAGTTCTGTGCTGCACAGTCTCCTTTTCTCCCCTTCTCTGGCATCACAAATGCCAGGCATTTGATGTAGTCTTGCTGATTCATACCTACTTTCTGCCATGATGTATCAATATCAGCTTGTTCATTATAATGCAGATTCACATATTATTAAAATAGGATAGCAGTTGCAGTAAAAATTGTCTTGAGTTGACAAGTAACTTGCCTTCCTCACCTACATATCTTCTACTTATGTGTTCTACTCTGTGATCGTTTTGATCACTTCATGCTAAAACAGGGCCTCTATTTATGACATATGTTGAATGGACAAAGTATTTTCTATACATTGCCTCACAGGCAGTTGTCTGCTTCAGAAAGTGGCTATATGATTTAAAGGAATGGCCAGTTTACCTAGCGCTGGCTGATGGCTCATAGAAAAGTGCTTTTGTTATTCAGGTCTCAGGTGTGAAATTAGGCTTGTGGGAGAACCTTCAACCTATTTCCATGCAGTTGCTTCCCCTCCCACTTCTCCACCATAACCTCTCCTCCCTTGCTTAATCACTTATGTTGATATTCATATGTCAGCATATATAGTTCTCTATGAATACAAATAAAGCTAGAACACTTAGATAGATTAAATCTTCATTTAGATGTTTATAGAAGAAAATTCACTTTGAATGGAATGTGGCTGTTCATTATGGAGCAGTTGTATTTACATTTTAGAAAAATACTTTTACTTGGTGTTATCAGTAAGGATTAGCAAAAGCAACAGTACTGTTTTAACAGTCTCTTAAATGGAAATTTTTTTTTTTTTGCATTTTTTTTAAGTAGAAATCATGAGAGCGTGAAATTATCATTATGGAGCAGTTGTATTTACATTTTAGAAAAATACTTTTACTTGGTGTTGTCAGTAAGGATTAGCAAAAGCAACAGTACTGTTTTAACAGTCTCTTAAATGGAAATTTTTTTTTTTGCATCTTTTTTAAGTAGAAATCATGAGAGTGTGAAATTAAAGGCATGAAAACCATTCATTCTTAGGACGGAAACAAGCAAGAACAAAGAAGTTAACTATTAAGAGTCAAGAGAACAAGTGGCTTGCCTGCCACTGCCAGTTTCCAAGAATGTTGTTCTTTCTGCCTCAGTTTATCTTGTCTCCTATATTAAGCATTTGAGTTACTTGATTTTAGTGATCAGCCTGTTCCTCAGATACAAAGAAAAGTTGCAGTTAGTTTTAACTAATGTTTTCTTTCTCAGGTGGTACGTGACTTACGGCCATGAGCTCATATGGAAGAACAGAGAACCACTGGTGAAAGCTTGGCATGAAATGAGGACAAAGAACACAGGAAAAGGAGGAGGTGGAAGGTCTAACTGATTCTAATCCTAGAGATTCCTTGTGCCCAAGTGGTATATTACTTGAAGACATGGGATTGAATTGGTTTTGAAGGTTTTTTGCTACTCCACATTAAGCCTCTAAGGAGCTGAAGTTTCTAATATAAACTACAGTTACAGAAATGCATATCAATAGAAGATGAACTCTGACAAAAGGTGGAACAATAAAGGTTTTTATCCTATTGCTCTCTGAGGTAACAGTCTGCTTTACATTTTTTAAAGGAGGAATAAAAAAAGCTTTCTAATGAAGTGACCAAAAGCTCTGTCCAAAAAACTTCAAAATGGGGTACAACTGGTTAATACTTAGGAAGATAAACATTTTTAAAACTGAGGAAGTTAATGGATCACGCACCCCCCTAATGTCCATCAAACACCACTAGGTGCTTTCCTAGAAGGCACGCTTTAGACAGACTGGACTCAACATAAGGCTAATGTGGTGAAGTTCAATGGTCTTTATTGTTGAAAAGATTGGATGAGATAAGCCAATGGTCTCTTTTGATCTTAAACTTGAAATACGTGAAGCAATACTGGATTGGTTGCCAAAGCTTACATACTGGTTAATGATCCAGCTTTGTTCGTCAGCTATGGCTTATTTAACCTACGTGTGTTTTTCTTTTTTTTCTATCTGCTTCCAAGATGCTGTTACATCTTAGAATTTACTACAATTATACCTTTTTCATAGTTACATGCAGCAGAACAATGACTTATACTGTAGGTTTGGGTATTTTACCATTAGTTATACTGCTTTCTATATTCTTTCACTGCATTAGTTTGTTTTTGGGGTTTTGTTTGTTTGTTTTTTAAGTTGTACTGTATTGCTAGTTTCCTTTAAGGTTTTTCTAAGAATTTTTAAAAAGTAACATTTGGTTCACAATGTGCCAGTTCTAGAAGCAGCTTTAGCAAAAATAGATGAGGTGCCTGAGATCAGCAGCACTGTAACCAGAAGTAACTACTAAAGTAAGCCTGAGGGTAGTAGCATGACCAATGTTCCTATTACACAAATAAAAGCAAAAATTGGATTTTGGGTATGCTACTACTGTGTGCCTGTCCTGCAAGGATGACTACCTTGCAAAGGGCTGAGGAGTCTGCCCAGATACAAGCTGGTGGGTTCAAACCCTTAACTCTTCCCCGTAGGCTGAATTAGTCATTCCAGATGGGCTGTCTTGCCAAAGAACATGTTGCATCTGTAAGAAGCAACTTGTGCCTTTTTACTTTACAACAGTGCCTAGCAGAAAATGTATTTCCTGTAGGGTAAACAATACATAATGCTAAATGGCACTAGTTGTAATAAATGATGGAGTACAAAATTGCTGTAAACTCCTTTATTGCCACAGGCCAGTGCTCAAGTCTAAATTTTTTTATCCCTTGGAAAATGAGGCACTTGAGGATTTGTTCCTTTAAGTGCCTGTTGACTTAAAAAATGAAAAGAATTGGAGTATCTAATATTCCTTTGCTCTGCTCCAGAAGCTTTCTGCCTTTCTGTTTCTAATCTGTCACTTCTCCTTTCCTGCTTCCTTCTCTGATACTCAGGACAAGCATGCTGGTTTTTAGGGCTTCAGCCACAGCGCAGCCCTGCCTGCAGCAGAGGGCAGCTGAACATCCAGCCGGGCGCACTGCTGCCAGCAGCAGCCGCTTCCCGCGGAGGCAGGGGGAAGCCGGCAGCATCGGAAGATGGCCACCAAACGGGCTTGTTATAAGGGAGTATTTCGTGCCAAAGAAGCTCAAAAGCCATAGCTCACAATATTTTGCATATTGGTTTTACACCTATTTAACACTTACCTGTTGTCCTTGTCCACTTTCTTTTGGTTTTTTCCCTTCTCTTCCTTGCATTACCTCTTGTCCCCTCAACAATTTACCTAGTCTCTTCAACACTTCTCTATTTACTGAGGATTTTTTAGAGATCCTGGCTGAAAGCATCAGGGAGTAATATTGCAGGAAATGCAGTGTATAAACTCTGAAGTTCCTCACCATAGCAGCCAGTGCCTACCTCAAAGTTTGAAAGTCATGCCCCTGTATTGCTTGCAGAGAGTGGAATCCTACTCTCAAGGTCTGTTAGATGTGCTAAGGCAGTGTGGTATTGCTGCACCCTTTCAGCTTGCAGGAAAGGTGCAGATGAGCACAGAGGCATTTTTAGGCTGACCCTTCAGAGGCAATACCTGCACTTCTGCTGGATTCTCAGAGTTGCAGGGGCACAAAGCTCCTGAAAAACCAGCCTGGAACTGCCAGAGAAGTTGGGAAGTCACCATCTTTTCAGTCAGTGGCTGTGGTTTGAGGGTCTCATGCCTAAGCTGCACCCTAACTTTAGGCCTAACAGCATTCACCCTTCTAAAGGCTGTTCAGTACCTGAATCTCCCTCATTTGTAGAAACCCTAGAGGTATTTAATATATGTAAGGTTGTACAAAAATATTCACGTGGCCAAGCAGTGGGTTTCATATCACTTTGCACCTGAGCCTTCGTGCAGCATTGTCTGTCAAAGGTAAAGTACCTTCTCCTGTCCAAAATGACTTTCAAACTGCAATAGAAATGCCAACATTCAAGTCAGTCAGACAAGGAATGGCCTGGAGTTGTGACAGCTCACTAAAGTAAGATAACTTTCTGGCAAGCAAATGCCCTTCTTGCAAAACCTGCCATCAGTATATGCCAGTATCCGAGTATTTAGTCACACTTCTGAATGGCAAAGAAATTAGAAGAATGGGGGGGAGGAAGCAACCCCAAACAAACCCCAAACCCAGAAAAACCAACAACAAAAAGAACCAACCACCTAAAACAAAACTAACCACAATGGAAAGACTTTTTTCCCCCCTTTTCAAAGAGCTTATTATTGTGAATAAAAATACAATGTGGTAGTTATGTGGACGCTTGGCTGAGACAGCAGCTAGTGTTTGTGTAGGAAAATAGCAGTAAGTATAGAGACACAATCCTTCATCCCTTTTCAATGGCTTTAAGAAAGTCTGCTGTGGCCTTGCCATGTTTAAGGAATATTTGCTTCAGTGCATTGACCTGCTCTATTGAAATTTCATTTCAGTATTAGAACAAACGGTCTGAGCTTTCAGCCCCCATTCCTGGCAGCAGCAGCTGTTTTGCTTTCTGATTGGATGGCTTGCCTTTGTCTTACTGTTGCAGTATTTCCCTCTCCCCCCCCTTTTAATCATGATAAATCTCTTCTAAATGCAGACAACTTTTTAATCTCATCCAGCTTCTCCTGGTTTCCCTGTCTGAGATAGCATTTGTGCCGATTTCATCCTACAAGCTATGATGAGCAGCTGCTCAAAGCGCTCCCTGATGCTGTAGGTGGGCTCCGAGACGCACAGTGCCAGAGCCGAACTCAGTGCTAGGAAGTGACAGGCACAGGGAGAGCAGAGACATCCGATTTATTCTCCAATGTATTTTGCTAAGTCAGGCCTAGGAACAAGGATCAGAGCATCATTTGTACTGTGCCAGTGATAACAGATGATAAAGCGGATGTTCTGTTTTCTCCCATGACTGTAAAATCCATTTGTCTTTACCAGGGTAAAGTGGTGTACATTTCACCCAAATATGATTTTTAAAAATTACTACGTAGAGCAGAGTAGTTTTAGGAAAAAGGAGCAGCAGAAAATTAAGAAATGTCTCCCTGCATATTCCTAAAAGTAAAATTATGCTTGTGGGTTTTTCAGGCAACAAATGAAACGCAGCATCCAGTATCCTATATGTTATTGTGTCAAGACTTCTATGTGGGACCAAAATGTTGTTACCTGAAATTTCTGAGTCTCCTGACACGCGGGGTGGGGGGGAGAAGGGGGTGAAATCAAAACTGCTAGTAGCACCAGCAGGCGCCAAATCAGATATTTAGGACAACAGGATCATCTGCAAAGGAATTTCTTTCTATCCCTTGATAACTGTGTTTCAAAGAGAGGCCAGACACTCAAGGAGAGGTTCTGCCTCAGTCCATATCCACATTTCTAGCCCTCCTCCCCACCAGAAGCAGGTGCAAATCTGGACTGAGGTGCTAATTCTCTGCAGATACAAAATGCTCAGCTGAAATAAAGCAGGAAATCTTAGCTTTTCGAGTTCCACTGCATAATTAATTTCTTATTAGATCTCATCAGATAACCACCTGTAACTAGATTACTGCATTCTAAAATGAGGTACCTATCTAGTTAGCCTTTAAATAAACTGAGATGCCACCTATTAGAAAATCATCTGCATTCTTCACTTTTACAGTCTTATATTTCATAGTTTGGTGACCCATTGGGAGCTTCTTCTGTAATAACACACTGAATGGGGAATTGTGGAGAAGCATTATGGCCTGCAGCCACTTATTACATAAGATGTCAAATTTCAAAAGCCAGACTTTTCCCTGATGTAATTCTGTCAGCTTCAGTGGTTTGCACCAGGACTGTTTGGTTTTGAACAAGAATGTACAAAGGAAAGCTGTGGTTTCCAGTCTCTGGCAAACAGTAAATGACGTGGATCATATATTAAATATGTAATAGATGCTTGGATTTTCATCTATAGGTAGTATTTTAAAAGTGAAGTGGTTAAACTGTTAAGGTAAGGGGGGGCCGTTAAGTGAGGTTTTGGGTTTTTTTATGCACAGCTATCAGAAACTAACATTGCAAAGCTGCTATTTCTCATCAAGATCACTTATTTTATAAATACCAGGTTTCATATACAAATGCTTTCTCTAATCGTAAGTGGTTGCGGCTAACTTGAAATTGTAATCAAGCGGTGCTACCCAGCTAGGGCAGAGCAGTATTCCTTGCTTGGCCGGTGCCCGTGATTGGATACGCTACGGAGCTTCCCGGGAACAGAGAGAGGATCCCAACGCCCTAAAGCAGACACCCGGACGGGAAGGCGCACGACGACGGGAGAGCCGGTACCCCGGAGAAGGCG